AACCACATGTGGTTCTATTGTTCCCTGAACTGACTAAAATAGCTGGAAGATGTGTCACCTTTTCAATATCAAGAGCGAGCCTGAGTCACTTTTTTCCCCCTTAGAGCAATTTTCCTTTGAATTACTCAGTGGATACATTAAAGCATTACTTGACTTAGGGCTGTTATTGGGTAATTTGCTTGGGTGAAGCTAACTGAATATCCAGAGTTTCTGGCAACCCAAGCAACTCACTCTCATTAAAATTAACTATAGATTTAAAAGCATCATGCAACGTCTGTACAATCCTAGTCTCTCATAAAATTTACAGCACTTCAGGGGGTTCATAATACTCTCCTTGGAAGTACAAGTGGCAGGAATGTGAATTTAGAAACATGACATCATTTCCCAAAGCATGTTTAATGTTACTAAAAATAAAACCCACTCTAATGCTGCTTGGTATTATTATCACGATGCAATCCATATACCATGGAATTGACCAAAATTTTAAACCATCCAGTTCAGTGATTTTTAGGATATTTTCCAGGAGATTCAATCATTGTCCAAGAGCCCAAGATCCAAGAGCCCTCCCGTTGATCGTCGATTTGCTCGAGGGGGCCCAGTAACGTCTCCATCAGAGACTTTGTTGTTACTGTGTCTGGCATATCGAATACTCTCGGTAGCTTGCCGGGCTCTCCGAGAGGGGCGGAGGAATCGAACTCGGGTCGGCCATGTTGGCCGCTTGTAAGGCAAACGCCTTACCCGCTGTGCTCTTCAGAATATTTCCTTCATGGATTTCATTTCTCAAGCCTCCACTCACCCTTTTTATTGACTCACCATGAGATACAGTTACAAAACTGTTCATGGTCCAGCTTCAGTCATCTAATGTTCCAACACCCATCCCTCCACCAGTATATATTCTCCACCACCAGTGTCTCCAGTTTACCTCCTACCACTCACTCTCCCCCCAACCCCAGCCTGTCTCTATGGCAGGCACTTTCCTTCTCTCTCTGTCTCTCTGTCTCTCTGTCTCTCTGTCTCTCTCTCTCTGTCTCTCTATCTCTTTCTCTTTCCCTCCCCTTTTGAGCATTATGGTTTGCAATACAGATACTGAGAGACATAGCTGTTTGCATTTTAACCTGTTTTCAGCATGCAGTTCTTATCCAGAATGATCATTTTCAGCTGTCTTTGTCATAGTGTTCCCTTCTTCCTCCCAACTGCCTTATTCCCAAGCAATTGAAGAAGGCTTTCAACCTGGACCAATCCTCCTGGCCCTTGTTTTCACTATCCTTGGGTATTAGTTCCACATTATGTTCTTTTTATATCCCACAAAAGAGTCCAGTCATTCTATGTCTCTTTACTTCTGACTCGTTTCACTCAGCATGATACTCTCCATGTCCATCCATTTATAAGTAAATTTCATAACATAATTTTTCCAAATATTCCATAGTATTCTATTGTGTAGATGTACCATAGTTTCTTTAGCCAGTCATCTGTTCTCTGGCACTCAGGCTATTTCCAGATTCTAGCTATAGTGAATAGTGCTGCAACAAACATAGAAGTGCAAATGGAATTTCTGCTGTGTGTTTTGGGGCTCCTGGAGTATACTTCCAGAAGTGGTATTGCTGGGTCATATGGAAGCTCATTTTCTAGCTTTTTGAGGAGTGCCCATACTGTTTTCCAAAGAGGCTGAACTAGTCAGCATTCCTACTAACAATGAAGAGTCCCTTTCTCCCTGCTTCCATGCCAGCATTGATTACTCTTGTTCTTTTTGATGTGTGTCAGTCTCTATAGTGCTACATGATATCTCATTGTTGTTTGGATTTGCATCTCCCTGATTACCGATGTAAAGTAAAAAGTAAAAAGTAAAGGCCCTCCCGTTGATCATCGATTTGCTCGAGCGGGCCCAGTAACGTCTCCATTGGAGACTTTGTTGTTACTGTGTTTGGCATATCGAATACTCTCGGTAGCTTGCTGGGCTCTCTAAGAGGGGCGGAGGAATCGAACTCGGGTCGGCCATGTTGGCTGCGTGCAAGGCAAACGCCCTACCCGCTGTGCTATCGCTCCAGCCCTTTGTACCGATTACCGATGTAGAACATATTTTCATGTTTCTTTTGGCCATTTGTGTGTATGTGTGTGTGTGTGTGTGTGTGTGTTTTGTCAACGTTTCTGTTCAGTTCAACTCCCCATTTTTTGATGAGATTGGAATTTTTTCTTGTAAAGTTCTTATGGGCATTGCATAAATAATTTTCCTAATTGGTGGGCTCTCTTTGAATCTTGGCCACTATTTCTTCTGAGGTGCAGAAACATCTTAGCTTAATATAGTTCCGTTTGCTTATCTTTGCTTCCACTTGCTTGGTCAGTGATGTTTCATCCTTGAAGATTTCTTTAGCTTTAATCTCATAGAGAGTTCTTTCCACACTCACCTCAGTATATCATAAGAATTTTTAGAATCAGGCCCCCATATTCCTCCCTCTCATCACCCCCTGGAAGCAGTCATCTGCTTTCCATCTCCATGAATTTGCCCTCTCTGGACTTCTTATCCAAGTGAAGGCAGACAACATGCCTGGCTTATCTCATCTCATTTAGTTTGTTGTTTCCAAGAGTCTTTTGTGTTAAAGCTGGAGTCTCCCTGTGTAGGAAGACTTGACACTGGTTTTGACAGTTCTATGAGGTGGAGGCTAATGGGCTAGGGGATTCTCGTATGATCTGAGGCTATGTTACGGTTAAGTTACAGTGTCAAGGGCAGAGAACACAGTTTGGCAATGACCGACCACTTTGGGGATAGGGGTGGGGTGGGGTTGTTAGTATGGACCTTAGGCAGAACTGATGTCATTATAAGTAACCCCGTAAAATGTATTCAGGGTATGCTTTGACCTCTCCATGTTCTAAGCTTCTTAGGACCATCTCCCTTCCCCATCCACGTTTCACGTTGGCTTCACTTCCTCTGAACTCTTGGTAAAGCTCATTTATTTGTTTCCAATAATGCCACTATAAACCGATATTCCTTAGTTACTGCAGTCCTGTTTTCCTGGTTCCCTAGGAGAGTAGAAGAAGGCAGATTTTCAGTTAGCAAAGGATCTAGACTTGGATTTGTCCAGTGCAGGTGTGCTGCACACTCACATTCTTGTCATTTACTGAAATACAATAAAGGACTCCTTTCTACAGGCCATCTTATTGGAAAAGTGAATGTCTGTATATATTATTTTGGTGTCAGGACTCCCCATTGGTGCTCTGGCATCCCCAGGGTCCACACCCACTACCCTCTTCTGGACAGATTAAGAGGTGGGTCATCAACTTTACACCTGGCAATGCTGAGGATTCAAACTCACCTGAGAATGTTTCGGAGCTAGTTTCATGGCCCTAGGAATCCTTTTCTTTCCTGATCTTTGTATTGAATTAACATACTCTCCTTTAATTAATTAAATATGCTTACTTGTTCCAAGCAGGGAAAGACAAGCATGATTTAGTACTCTTTCTGTCTCAAATACGATTTGAAGGGAGAGCTGGATTAGGTACAAAGATATTCTGTGTAATTGTTACTTACAAAGGGTAATAATTGTTACTTATATAGGGTAACATATAACAACTATATAAACCCTTTATACGTAACAATTACAAGAATATATTTATTGTTGGTGGGGGAGGAAGTGGAGAAGTGGTCCTGAAATAACAGTAATGCCATTTTGGGGTCAATGTTAAAATTCTATTTAATGTACTTAAAACAAAAGACACTTAACTTTCCTGGTTGGTAGCATAACCTTTGAATCACCTTAATAGAATGCCTTTGTGCGTGTGGTTTGTGTGTGTGTGTGTGGGGGGGGGGGGGGAGTGTGCAAAATGTGTCACCCAAAATGTGTGACACTTAAGTCAGAGGAGAGAATTTGCGTTTGATGAAGGTTCATCAAATGACAAATACACACTCTGAAATCCCAGGGCATGCTCCAACATATTGCCAAAATAAGTTAGATTCCTTTTGAGCATGTTAAATTTTTGTATATATTTTTGTGTTCTCATCGACGGAGTTCCTGCTGGCACTTCTTTCTCCAAGCAACTGAACCGTTGATCCCACTTTTTTCCCTTAAAGACGAACAGTAAGAGAGAGCACGCAAGACACTTGGCGTTTGGGTGCCACCTCCTTCCCCTGAGTGTAAGACTTGACCATCCATTTTACTTGGTTACGTAGACTTTAAGGATTAAAGGGCACGTATTCAAGTCGAAAGAGACTCTAGAAAGGGCCAATTCTGTCTCTTGGCACCGTTGATCATCGTCAGGGACAATATAGGAAATTTCCAAATCAGCGTTTTGCATATCTGGCTGATGCCTAAGTCTCTCCTGGTCCTAGCGCCCCAGCGGACGCGGACCCGGCTGGGCGGGGTGGGCGTGGCCGGGCGGGGCCAGGAAGGCGCTGCAGAACTGCAGGTCCGGGCGGGGGCGGGGCCTGGCAGGGTGGGCGGGGCTTGGCGGGGTAGGCGGGGCTGAGAGGAACTGCAGAACTGCAGGTCTCGGCGGGGGCGGGGCCGAGTGGGTGGGTGTGGCCGGGAGGGACCGGGCGGGGCCAGGACGGCGCTGTGAGCAGCAGGTCCGGATAAGGGCGGACCTGGCTGCGGCGGGGCGGGGCCTGGAGGAGGAGCCCGGCGGCGGGGCGGGGCCTGGGCTAACGGTTTCTCTGGCGGGCAGGCGCGTGCCCACGGGTGCCCTCCCCGGGCCCTTGCGGCCGGGAGCGCGCCTCCGCCTTGGCACGCCCCGCCCCCGCCGCGCGGCTTCCTCCGGCATTTCCACTCGGCTCGCCCAGCTCGCCGGGCTGCACCGAGCCAGGACGGGCCGGGGCGGCGCGGCCCGGCTCCTTGAGGCTCCCGCGGCCCGGGCCCGCCTTCCGCGTGCCGGGGTCACTGTGACCGGCGTCGGCGCGGTGGGGCGGGATGCCCGCGATGGGGCCCAGGTAGCGCGGGTGGGGCCGGGCTCCGGGCCCAGCGCGCGAGCCCACGTGGCTGGCACTGAGCGTCCCTTTGCCTCTCGCGCAGGTGGCTGCGGGTGACGGTCCTCCCGGGCTGCGTGGGCTGCAGGACCCTGGAGGTGGAGGCGACCCAGACGGTGCGCGACGTCAAGGACCGCATCGCGGCAGACACGGGCTTCCCGGCGGCGGAGCAGCGGCTGTGGCTGGGCCACAGGGAGGTAGGGGCCGAGCTGTCCTCCGCGGGTGTGTGACTCGACGGAGCTGTCCCCTGCGGGTGCGTGACTCGATGGATGAGCCGCCCAGCAGCGGACTGTAGGGGTGATCCAGGGAGCCGGGCAGCGCCCACTGCCCCGTTTAGGCTCGTCTTCCTTTCCCAGCGTGCGAGGAGATATTTGCGGGGGGGAGGGAGGGTTGGGGTGGGCAGAGTCCAGAGAGTTGTTCCAAGTCTGATGCCTCATAGTTAGAGTAAGTTGAGTAACTGCTGTGCCTGCAAGGTGCATTTTGAAGCCAGCCAGAATCCCGGTCAATAACTTCACTGTTTTTTTTGTGTTTTTGTTTTTAAATTAACCTCTTGCACCTTTCCACCCATCTTTGAATCTCAGAGATTTGGCACCAAGGGGTCTGCAGACGTCATAGAAGACTGAAACACTTGTTTTAGTAGCATTGCTACTAGAACTTCCAAAGTGTGAATGAACGACTTTTATCAGATCAAAACTTGCATATCCTGTGAATGGATGATAAGACAAGCAATTCATTGGACTATTTCACACCCTCAGTATTCTTTAAGGGTGAGATGCGGTTTTTTTCAGAGATAGATTCAAGGAAGGACATTTTACTGAAAATCAGCTTGCTCTCTTACCATAACAAGTAGCTCCACTTTGTATTTATTCATCGTGTTTATTTATTTCTCGGTAGTACTAAGGGTGTTTCCCTGGCAGTGCTCAGCTGGCGCACACCGGGTCTGGTGCGTGCAAAGCCTGTATGTGCTCTGGTTCAAATATTCTGGCCCTTTGAGGTTTCTTCCTTGCCCAATATCTTTGCTTTTTATAGGATAAAGAATAGCATTTCCAGAATTTTAAACAGGCTGAATGAAAGTTGTGTGAATGTGCTGCAGGAGCCCTCGACCCTGCTGTATGCAGTATCAACTGCTGGCTCTCCTTCTGGCAACAAATTCAGACCAAGTATTTGACAAGGGTGATCTTTAGTCTTTGTCCCTCTGCCTTTGCGCTTGCCCATCAGCTCCTGTTTTAGGTTGTTGGGGGGAGGCGGGTGGGTGGAGGCAGGCGCCTCAGGAACCTTGCTTAGTGTGAGGTACTGAGATTGCAGACTGGGTGTGTCCATGCTTAGTGTGAGGTGCTGAGATTGTAGACTGGGTGTGTAGAGGTAGAAGTGAAGGAGAGAATACTGGGAAAACCTGTAAAAAGTAATGATAGTGTATGTGTGTTTCTGTGTGTAGAATAAGGCAGGCATTGTGCCAGGATGTTCACAGGTCTTGAACTAGGAAAATAATGATTCAGATTACAGAAATGAATACTATGGGTACCTGATTTTGGAGGAAAAGGTAGTGAGCAGTTTGCCCTTATATATGGTTCAGCTAATGGCAAGAAGAAAGAAACATCCAGGAAAGTATGTGAAGAGCTAGGTGATCTGGACAATAGAAGGCGAGTTGAAAATCACCTTAGGATCTGTTCTCCTGGTTGGTTTTTGTTGTTGTTGTTGTTGTTTGTTTGTTTTGGTGCTTTGGGGTTAATTCTGACTTTGCACTCAGGAATCACTTCTGGGGGATTTGGGGGACCATATGGGGTGCCAGGGATTGAACTTGAGTTGGACAGGTACAAGGAAGCACCCTACCTGTTGTACTATTCCTCTGAGCAAGTTTTCCTATTTCTGAATGGGATAAAGCTGATTCTAACTTGTTCTCAGGCATCTGCCATGTAAGAGTCTTGACCAGAGTCAGCAAGTGGCTGAATTGCAAGGATGAGAAGCCGTGGGCTAGAGAGAGTTTTCAGAAGTAACTGGCTCAGCTTGTTTCTCTTTGTGTACATTGATAAAATGCACCAATGATGAATATCTGTTGAACTGGGTACTTAGCTTATCCCATCCCATTTATTATTCTAAAACCCAATGAGTTATTACTAGTACATTTTGTAGAAAAGTATAGGTCAGATTTATATGATGAAGTATCAAATCAGGATTTGGACCCAGTTCTGTCTGATTGCAAAAGCTGTGGGCTTTGCACTGTTCTACACCATAGGAAATCTGACAGGTTGTCTATTTAAATAAATAAAAGTTCACCCCAGGCTTCTTTAAAGCAGAAAAAGCCATTAAGAATATAGTTGTTCTTGTTTAATTTTTTTTTTCAGTTTATTGAGGCACCGTGATTTACAGTGCTGGTGATAGAATTTCAGGCCCACAGCACCCCACCCTCCACCACTGTGTCAGTGTCCCTGTACCCGTGTTTTCAGGTGCCTTAGTCTGAGTTCTATAAGCCAACTCTGTTTCTGTTGCCTTTGGCCATTTGTTACTCCTTTTCTAAGCTTCTTTATATCTTACATATGGGAGAGATCATTCTATGTTTGTTGGTCCCTCTTTGACTGTCCTCTTAGAGCTCAATACTCTCCAGTTCCATTTACATAGCAGCAAATCGCATGATTTTTCATTTCACATAGAATAGTGTAATACTCCATTGTGTGTATGTGCCAGAGTTTCTTTATCCAGTCATCTGTCCTTGGACACGTGGCTTGTTTCTAGATTTTAGATATTGTGTGAACAGGGTTTATCAGAGTTCTATAGGTGTGAATCCTGTGCAGCTGCCTCCTAGGAACTGGCCCAGGGTCCGAGCGCTGCTCCTTCTATCCCCACAGCTGTGCCTTAACCCCTGGACTAGTTCTCCAGTCCCTAAATTCTCCTGTTATAGGAAGGGGTTATATTTTTTTTGTTTGTAAATTTTTCAAGATCTTTATATTTCTTGGTTATTGACCCTTTGTCAGGTGAGTGATGGGCAAATATTTTCTCCCAATCTATGTGGTGTCCCTTTTTCTTGTCATATTTCTTTTGAGTGAAGAAGCTTCTTAATTTGACGTAGTTCTGTTTTTTGTTTTTTAAATTCTTTTCTACTGTTTGCTGGATCAGTGATATTGAATCATTGAAGATGCTTTTAGATTCAGTGTCATGAAGGGTTTAACCTATTTTCCTCAATATAATTTATAGATTAATTTATAGATTCAGGTGTGATAGTGAGGTCTTTAATCCACTCAGAACTGATGTGCATGGTGTGAGAGAGAGGTTTGAGTTTATTTTTTTGCATGTGACTGACCAGTTTTCCTACACCATTTTAGTAGAGACCTTCCTTGCTCCACCTCATTCTTCTAGATATTCTTTTTTGAAGATTAGCTGACAATACATCTGAGGATGTGTCTCTGAACTCTCAGTTCTATTTCATTGTTCTGAGAGTTTTTATCCTAGTATTATTGATTATATTATTTATTGAAGTTGGGGAAAGAAAACTTCTCATCTTTTTTCCTAGTATTGCATTGGCTATTTAGAGGTTTTATTACTTCATATAAATTTTAATGGCATTTGACTTATGTCTACAAAATGTGCCATGTGAATTTTTATAGGACCTGCATTGAGTTCTCTATCAATAATAGGAAAGAGACAATCATATAATCTTATCAGTAGTTGCATAGAAAGTATTTGACAAGATCCAAAGCCATTCATGATACAATTCTTAATTAAAAGAGGATAGACGGGGGTATGGTGCCGCCAGCAGGTCAATCTGTACCTGTGAGGTGAGTGCATCAGCAGCCTGATGGCGCCTTCAGACTTCCAGATACCCCAATATTGCTGCTGTGCCTTTGGCCAGACCCCAAAAACTTGGGGCAAAGTTTACCAAGAAAGTAGACAGCCAGAAATTAGGTATGTGGGAAACACACCCACAAACCACCTCCGACTCAGCTATATAATTGGAGGCAAGGCCTCTCTGGTTCCTGATTGAACTGCTTAATGGCCATGATTCCAGAGACTCAGAAATGAATCTTGGAAACCAGCGGCTTTAGGTAGAAATGCGTCCAGTCCCTGCAGTAGGTTACCAGTGCTGGGCCAACCCAGGTGGGAATAGGTTTCGTGCCTTGGCCTGTTCCCCCTGGCGGCCAAGTGGCCGCCATCCTTCAGAGGCCACTGGATAGTCAGGTTTGGGCCCCCAGTGACGAGACACATAGGGCCTCACGGAATGGGGGTGGAGCCAGGCTTGTCCTCCCCACCCCAATGAGACCCCAAGTCATTGCCCACGAATGGCCTCTCTGGCTCCTGATCCAGCTGCTTAAAGGCCATGATCCCAGAGACTCAGAAACAAATCTCAAAACCCAGTAGCTTTTGGCAGAAATGCGTCTGGACCCCACAGTACGTTACTGTCACCAGGCCACCCCAGGGAGGAAAGGGTGTTGTCACTCCACCTGCTCCCTCTTGGTGGCTCGATGGCCGTCATTTTTCAGAGGCTATTGGACAGTCAGGCCTGGGCCCACAGTGGTGAAACTTGTTGGGCTTCATGGGATGGGATGGAGCTGGGCCTGTCCTCCCCACCCCAACGAGACCCCAAGTCATTGCCCACAAACGGCCTCTCTGGCTCCTGATCAAGCAGCTCAACAGCCATGATCCCAGAGACTCAGGAGCAAATCTCGAAACCCAGTGGCTTTTGGCAGTAATCCCTCCAGATTTAAGTGTTAAAATTTCTGAATTTCAAAATCATATGGCCCTACTGAAGCCATGCGACATCATATGTTATTCATAACCAGCAATAGAACACAAATTGTCTATTGTTGCCTTTTCAGCATATCTGAGTGTTGGGGTAAAATCTCAAATAATAATGGTGGGTCTGGTGTCGAAATATTGAATGTGATCAAAGTAGAGAGAGAGAGTAATGTGGAAATCATCCGCCCCACAGGTGGGTGGAGGGTGAGGGATGGGGGTATACTAGGGTTTTTGGTGGTGGAGAATGGGTACTGGTGAAGGTACGGGTGTTTCATTGTATGACCGAGACTTAGACCCAAAAGCTTTGTAACTGCTCTCACGGTGATTCAACAAATAAAATATAAAAAATGAAAAAAAAGTAAGGTAAAGTTCATATACAATTCAATCAGCTAATCGGTGGCTGAATAAATAGCAGTACTCCTACAAAAAAAAAGAGGATAGAAAGAACTTTCCTCCATATAGTTAAAGTTATTTGCCACAAATCCATAGCTAACATCATATTCAGTGGTAAAATATTGATATCTTTTCCTCAGATCAGGTTGCCCACTCTCTCCACTATTACTTAATGTAGCAGTGGGAGTCTTGCTATGATCAAGAGAGAGGCATTAAGGGGATCTGAAAGAAGAAGCCGAACTATCACTGTAGACAACATGATAGTATACATAGAAAACCCTAAGTAATCTATAGAAAATCACTCAACACAGTAAACCCCTACAGTAACATGGCAGGCTACAAAATCAACATGCAGAAATCTATGGCATTTCTATATACAAACAATCAAATATAAGAAAAATAAAAAATAAGAAAACATTCACAAATGTGCCACTCCCTCCAATTAAGCATCTGAGGTACAGCTTAACAAAATAGATAAAAACTTATACAAGACAAACTGTGTCACTATTAAAAAAATAGACAACACAAAGAAATGGAAATACATCCCCTATTCACAAATTAAAGGATTGATATTATTAAATCACCACCCTGCAGAAAGCACTACATAGATTATATACTTGCTATAAAAATTAATCTCTTATAGTCTAGTTCTCCTTCTCAGAGAGCCTGGCAAGCTACCAAGAGATCCTGCCCATACTCGAGAGTCTGGCAAGCTCCTGTGGCATATTTATATGCCAAAAATAGTAACAATAATGTGTCTCATTCCCCTGACCGTGAAAGAGCCTCCAATGCAGCACCATTGGGAAGGATGAGTTTGGAATAGCTGCTAATATCTCAGGGCTAGGACAAATACAGACGTTACTGGTGCAAATTGATGAATAACTGGATGACAATGATAACAGTGATACAGTGATAAAAATAAACTTTTGAAAAAAAATACCCTAGGGAACATAATTCGCTTCAGTTTCTGAGGGCGTGTTTTTGACTTCTCAGCTACTGCATTTAGCTAAATCATGCTAAATCATGCCATCAGAAAGGCTTACCTTTATAGAAGAAAATCCTTCAGAGTGGATTCTGAAGGATTCTAAATATCTGAATTTAGAAGAAAAATTCTAATTTTTCCTTCTAAATTTATTGCTGCTGCCCCAAACATTTTAGGTTTGAATTACTGTTGAATATTCCAGATCTACTGGAGGGCAAAAACAGAAATAATATTGAGATTTCTAAATCTATCAGGTCTGACAGCTCCTTTTCACTCATTACTGTTGGTTGTAATGGACTTTGGAGTTGGACCTTTATTCTCAGTCCTTTGGGTCACCTCCCATCCTATTCTTGCCTTTGCTTCTTGGTCAGGAAGTTGAGTTTTTAAGTTCCTCACTTTACTTCCTGTTTCCTGCAGGGTGGGTCTGAAGTTGTATGTTAGAGCTGTGCATTTTCTTTCACCTTTTCCCTCTGTGACTAATGTGTTTGAGCCACAGACTACAAGTTTCCCAGTATTACCTACCTCCCTTTCTATTAATTGATGAAAAATGCTTGAATCTTGAGGTTATCCGTGTACCCTTAAAATGTGAGCAGAGGGAGAAGCCTTAGGAGATTAAGATTGCAATTAATTTTGTATTGTTTGTTTAATGGTTTTGGGGATTTAGCTAGTAGATTTCTCTTTACTGAATACTGTTCTGTATGAATAGGCCATAGAGTTTTGGTTGTGCCTATTTTTTTTCACACTTAAGCTTTAAAAAATAGTTTCCTTTAAAATTCAAGACACTATGTAGATATGAAAGAGCTATAAAAACTGGGAACTGTAATGTATTTAGATCTGTGATTTAGAAATAGGCTCATAATCGCAGATGATGTATAGAAAGTAAGGAGAAAAGATGGGATATTGTTATAAAAATTCAGGAGATGTTAAAGGTCAGAATAATTGGAAATGGAGAACAAATTGTATATGAGAGAAATTGATAGATTCTATGGGTAGACATCCTGGAGCCCAGGGATTACTTGGACATGTGATGTGGACGTGCACTTTCCTGTTAAGATGGCTAGGGGGACATTACTTCTTTTAGTTGAGATATAAAGTAAGGATGGGTGTAAGTGCTGGAAGGAGTGAGGTCACCCTGGACAGGTTCCACAGAATAAATCACAGAATGATTGCAAGAAGGAAATGATTGTCTAAGTGTTTTTTTTCTAGGAAACCAGTTACAGGGATGTTATAGACCAAAGTAGCTTAGGAGGTTAGAATTCTCATCTACCATTTTTTTTTCTCATCACATCTTTTTTTGTTTGTTTTTACAGCAATATATTGAGAAGTGTTTTTTCAGTGTATATTTTTAGGACGAACAGTCTAATAATTCCCTTTTTGAAAATAGATGAAAAATAAACCTGCTGATAAAAATTGTGAGATACTATTTTTTTGTGAAATACTTCCTAAGAAATTACCATGACTATTAATGTCATATCACGGAAAAAGAACAAATGATCGTAACTAATTTCAAACTTTAAATTTTGTCCTATAGTATTTTAACTATTCTATGGATTTCTATTCTGAACAATAAAGTTTAGAAATGCTAATCAAAAGAATGATTTTGCTTATGTTTATGATCCTGATTAATCACAAAGTAGTCATCATAAGAATGTTTATATATATTTGTAATTAAGCAAAAATCATTCACTTCTAAAATGAAAAACTTAATGAATTTCTATTCTGTGGCTTATTTACATCAGGAAATCAGGAATAACTTATTTCATGATTTAAACAGCTAGCATTCTTTCCTTCTTTGTTCTTGTTTTGGGGTCACGCCAACAATGCTTAAGGCTTAAGGCTTACTCCTGGCTCTACACTCAGGGATCACACCTGGAGGTGCTCAGGACCATATAGGATGCTGGGAATGGAACGTGGGTTAGCCATGTGCAAGGCGAGCTCTCTACCCACTGTACTCTCTCTCTCTGGCCCTTTATTTCTTATGGGAAAAAAGACTGTGGTAAAGTTTTGATTTTAGAATATTCAGAGCTAATTTCTTTTCTGCATTTTTTTTTTGTATTTTTCAGTTACCTGACTGGATCAAACTTGGAGACCTGACTTCTAAAACTTGTCATCTGTTTGTAAACCTTCAATCAAAAGGCTTAAAAGGGGGAGGTATAATGCCTACTTCACCTTGTGTATGCCATATTTAGTTGCACAAATGGGAAGTGAGGTTCAATGGGGACTCAGTAGTCAGGGCTCACTCTTGACTGCTCCCTTGCACCATGTGACCCAGAAGGGTCTCAACAATGCAGATTGTGGCTGCAGTGATCCCTGGTACCCCTGGACCTAAGCAGCACCACATTACTGGGCACCAGCATTGAACTATCCGTATCAATTCACTGCACATCACTTAGAGTGGTCCATGGTCCACCAAGCCCTGTGTGGAAAGACACTCCCCCTACTCCTCATGAAAAATTAAAAGTGATGTGAAAGCGTATCCTTTTGTGTGTGATAAGGGGGTAATGAGGACCAGAAGCAAATCAGTGTGGCCGAAACTAGTGAGTTCTAGAATGAATGTGCTGTCTTAAAGCAGGCCCATCTGCTTATTCTTGGAGACTAATAATACTAAGTAGTGCAGACACATGTACACATTAGTCCTGATTTCTTTCTCCAGCTCAAATTTCTTTTTTTTTTTTTTCATTTTGTGCACCTGAGAAATTATGTCCCTTCTCCCCTTTTCTTTTCCCTTTTTTGACACCTGACTGAAGTGTTTGACTAGCTCTAAGACTCTAGGAAAAGACTTGGGTATTCTAGAAGTGGATGGCTACTGAGCTGAATCTCAAAGCAGAACATTATTTGAGTTTGAGAATATTATGAATGTAACAGCTGCATTAAAAGGCAAAGCATCCAGCAAATAGCACCATTTGTTTCATTTGCTCTGGAACCTATCTTGTCCAGTGGTCTTGATGTTATGATAACCTGTGGATTTTGAAAACAATTTGTGGTTTGATTTAAAATCTTAAGATTTGACCAAATTAAATTTGTGTTTTACGAATCTGCTTAGCCAATTTTTGTATTAGAGTTTTGCTGTAAAATGTCTGAAATGAAACTTGAGTTCCATTGCCCCTTGTAGTCAGTTGGCTATGGGATTTTTTTTGAAATTATTTTAAATATTTTTTCTCTATCTTAGGTCGATTTGGTCAAACAACACCACCACTTGTTGATTTTCTCAAGGACATTTTGAGAAGATACCCAGAAGGAGGACAAATTCTGAAGGTTGGGCAGTGTGTTGTTTACAAGCATGAATTCTTTTGTTTTGTTTTATTTTGGGGTCATACTCAGCAGTATGTCCCCAAAACAGGGATTACTCCTGGCTCTGCACTCAAGGATCACTCCTGGCAGGGCTCAGGGGACCATCTGGGATGTTGGGAATTGAACCAGCATGCTGGCCAAGAACCTTACTCTCCATACTGTCACTCCAGCCTTACTAGTCTAAATGTGCTTTGGTGAAAATGAAGTGATAAGTAGAGGGATATGATTCAGGTGGTAGTACCCTGCCTGGCATATGTGAGGCCCTGAGCTCGAATTTTGACCACTGTTGAGTGTGGCTCAAGTACCTTACTACTGAGTCAAGCTCCAAACCATCAGACCCCACTAGGGGTTGTGCATTGCCCAGAGTTCAAGCCCTGCTTAGTGTGGCCCTTTGAAAACAGGAGATGGAGTCAAATGGGAACTTAGGAGTCCTGTTAGTGTTTAACACATTGATGAGCTGCACTCTTTTTTTTTTATTATGTATTTTATTTATTTATTTATTTATTTTTATTAGTGAAATACCATGAGGTACAGTTGTAGATTTACAATTTTTTGTGCTTGGGTTTCGGTTATACAATGATCAAATAACCATTCCTCCACCAGTGCCCATTTTCCACCACCATGGATAATATCCCTCCCACACCCATCCCCCCATCCCACCCTGCCTCTGTGGCAGGGCATTCCCTTTTGTTTTCTCTCTCCTTTTGGGTGTTGTGGTCTGCAAAAGAGGCATTGAGTGGCAAACATGTTCAGTCCATAGTCTACTTTCAACATGCATCTCCCCTCCTGGGAGGATCCTTCAAACACCCTTTATTTGGTGCTCCCTTCTCTATCTGAACTGCCCTTTCCCCTAGAATACCCGGCTGGCCTCTAAGCTATGGAGTAATCCTCCTGGTGTTGATCTTGAGCTGCACTCTTGTGTTAATTAAACCACATTGAAATGTGACCCACCAGTGGTGCACACAGTGTAGTTATTTTTAAGTTATACCTATTTTGAATGACTCAGACTTTCTTTTTGTTTTTTTTGGGCCACACCTGGTGGTGCTCAGGGCTTACTCCAGTCTTTGTGCTCAGGGATCACTCCTGTTGGGCTCAGGTACCATATGGGGTGCCTGGATAGTCTGCATTCAAGGCAAGTGCCCTCCCCACTGTACTGTCATTTTAGTCCCTCTTTCCCTTAAGCTTGAAGTCTATGTAGGACTAGTTAGGAAGGCAGTATAAATTGCATGATTTTGTTATTTCTTAGATCTGCCTATTATTCCATTGTGCATATATACCTCTACTTTTTAACCTTTCATCTGTCATAGGTATATGGGTCGTTTCCATTATCTTGGCTATTATAGTGGTGATGTTAGAGTTGTACATAGATCCATTTGAATGAATGTTTTTGAGTTTTGGGGATAGATGTCAAGAAGTGGTAATGTGGTAATGCTAGATCATATGGTCATTCTATTCCTATTTTTTTGGTAGATCTCCATGGTTCTTTCCATAAAGACTGAACCAGATGATATTCCCACCAACAGCGATGAGGGTTTCTTTCTCACCACAGCTCCACCAAAAATGGCTATTTCCAGATATTTTGATCTGAGCCATTCTCACCAGCTTGAGATGATATTTTATTGTTTTGATTTGCATTTCCAAATCATGAGTGACAAGGAGCACTTTTTCTTAATGCTCGTTGGCTATTTGTATGTCTTCTTTGGGAAAGGGTCTGTTCATTGGTAATAGTATTGTGAGCCACAGAATATTAAAAAAATTATAAATAAAATTGATAAATCAGAAAGAAAGGCAGTATAAACATGGAAGGTTTTATAGGCAAAGAGCTTCACTAAGCTGTTCATAACTAAGCTATGTGTTTAATGATGATCAAATACAGTGTTGTTCTAAGAAAACTTTTTATAAAACATTCTGTAGGAACATTTTAAGCCAAGTTGACCAAACAAACAAGTGCAAATTTCACCTTTTCGAAGCAATGAGTATGTACCTGTTTGACCCCTGGACTTAGAAATGTATCTTTTTTAATAGTTATTTATGTTTGTGAAATATTCTTTTAATCTGAATACACTCATTAAAAAAGAACTATAAAAGAAAGCAATAAAGTAAACGAATAAACAAATTAGGTTTTGTTTAAACTTAATAAGGAACTTCCTAATGAAATGTAAAAATGGATCAGTGTTTTTCATTGTCCTTATCATTAATCTTTTTAGTGTTTATTACCTTCAACATCTTCGCCTTTATTACATTTTCCATTTTTTATGGTAAATCTGAAAGAAATAGGATTTGGGTTATTTATTTAGATATTTATACTTACGCACATATGCTTATTGAGGATGGATGCATCTTTTGAGATCTGAATGGTGGTATTTTAGATTAGTTTTGGTCCACCTTTCAGAAAAGGCACCAGTGTTTCACTTTATGTTAATCTGAAAACTTATTTTTAATCAAGATATTAGGAATATGGGGGCAGAAGTTTGTTTATTGGGATGCTCAGTTGTTAAGGAGAGGTGAATAAAATAAATTAAAAATGAAGTTTTAGGAGCCAGAGCAATAGTACAGTGGGTAGGACACTTGCCTTGAATGTGCAAGGCACCAGACACCACATATGGTCTCCTGAACCCTATCAGGAGTGTTCCCTTAGCATAGAACCAGGAATATTAGTTCTGACAGGGGTGGCCCTACTAAACAAACAAACAGAAAAAACAGTACAACAAACAAAGAATATTTGGTTGGGTAGGAGTAGGATCTTAGCAATTCAAGTGATTTGGATCCTGTCTGAAGAGAAGAAGGAAGTCTTAGAGTTGGCAACCAGCTGATGTTTATTTTTCCACTCCGTTGACTGCACACATTTGAAAGTAGCTCTTTGGATTCTGGATATTTTAGTAGAAGTTGACTGTTTTAGACTTAATAGAAAGAAGTCACCTGGACTTAGACAACCACCTATGATCAATTTTATTTTTAGTTACTTTCCCAAGATCTCACATAGGCGTGTTTATTGTCTCCTCTGCTTAAAAAGTTTTTTTTTCTTTTTGGGTCACACCCGGTGATGCACAGGGGTTACTCCTGACTCTGCACTCAGGAATTACTCTGGTGGTGCTCAGGGGACCATATGGGATGCTGGGGATTGAACTTGGGTTGGCCACATGCAAGGCAAATGCCCTCACCACCGTACTTTCGCTCCGGCCCTTAAAAACCGTTTGGATAGCATTCCATTCTAATTTTTTATGCAGTGTGACACTAGAGTTTATACCTGCAGTTTTCTCCAGCTCTGCTGCTTTGAATATGCATTATCATTTTATAACATATATTCAGGTGAAAAAAATAGAAACTCTAAAATATTATTTTGCAAAAAAAATTGTATTTTGCTGTATCTTGTTTTGTTTTAAATATCTTGATATAAATATGGAAAAGTTCTTGGGATTCTGTTAAACTCAGTAGGGTAGGTGTGGGATTAAAAATTCTGGCAGTCAAAAGGCACATGGAAAAAATGCTCTACATTGCTATCATAAGGGGGATGCAAGTCAAAACAACAAAGAGATACCATCTCACACAACAGAGACTGGCACACACCAGAAAAAACAAGAACAATGTGCTGGTGCAGATGTGGGGAGAAAGGGACTCTCTTTCATTGTTTGTGGGAATGCTGATTGGCCCAGACTTTTTGGAAAGCAATGCAGGCGTTCCTTAAAAAACTAGAAATTGAGGAGCAGCTCTCTGGCCGGCCACGGCCCCGGCCCCGGAGGCACAAGGACTTAGCACAGAGAACCAGCTGCTTGGAGCAGAAAAGCAAAAGGACTATGTGTTAAACCGAGCCACCAAGCCTGCCCGGAGGGGAAAGGTTGTTGTCCCGCTCGCCTGCTCCTCTCTGGAAAGAAATATGGCGGCCGCACGGGAGCCTTGTGGACAGCAGGTTTGAGCAGGGGGCGGGGGGCAGCAGGGGCCTCATGGGAAGGGGGGCGTTCTGGGCCGTCCTTCATGCCCGATCGAGGTCACCAGCTGCCCCCCACGAGTGGCTCTCCAGCACGGCCACAGCCCCGGCCCCGGAGGCACAAGGACTTAGCACAGAGAACCAGCCGCTTGGAGCAGAAAAGCAAAAGGACTATGTGTTAAACCGCGCCACCAAGCCTGCCCGGAGGGGAAAGGGTGTTGTCCCGCTCGCCTGCTCCTCTCTGGAAAGAAATATGGCGGCCGTACGGGAGCCTTGTGGACAGCAGGTCTGAGCCGGGGGCGGGGGGCAGCGTGGGCCTCATGGGAAGGGGGGCGTTCTGGGCCGTCCTTCACGCCCGACCGAGGTCACCAGCTGCCCCCCAGGAGTGGCTCTCCGGCACGGCCATGGCCCCGGAGGCACAAGGACTTAGCACAGAGAACCAGCCGCTTGGAGCAGAAAAGCAAATGGACTGTGTGTTGGACCGCGGCATCAGGCCTGCCCGGAGGGGAAAGGGTGTTGTCCCGCTCGCCTGCTCCTCTCTGGAAAGAAGGATGGCGGCTGCGCGGGAGCCTTGTGGACAGCAGGTTTGAGCCGGGGGCGGGGGGTAGCGGGGGCCTCATGGGAATGGGGGCGTTCTGGGCCGTCCTTCACGCCCGACCGAGGTCACCCGCTGCCCCCCACGAGCGGCTCTCCAGCACGGCCACGACTCCAGAGCACAGAAACCAATCTCTTGACTATCTAACTTTTAATGGAAATACTTCCAGGGTTAATAAGTGAAACAGCAGAAATCGAAAATCACGCGGCCGCGCAACATCATTTTATTCTTAAACCAAGCTGTAGAAAGCAAATCATTTCACAACACTGTTTCAGCATATCTGATTGGGGGGGGGGTCGTAAACTCTAAACAATAATTGTGTATCTTCTATCGAAACAATGTATCTAGTCAAAGTAGATAGAGTATTAACTAGAACTCATCTGCCTCACGGGAATTGGGAGGGGTGGGAGGTGGGGTTCTATTGGGGTTCACGGTTAAAAATAAGTATTGGTAAAGGGAAATGTGTTTGATACTTACATGACTGAGACCTAAACCCGAAAGCTCTGTAACTTTTCCCACAGTGATTCAATAAAGAAATAAACTATTAAAAAAAAACCAGAAAGTGGGAAAAAAAACAAATTTCTCTCAAATGATAAATGGATAAGCAACAATATGGGGACTCTGTGAAATGGTATATTGTTCAGCCACCAAAGGAATGAAGCATCGAGACATATGTTGCAGTCTAGATGAACCTTGAAAACAATCCTATGTAACGCAAGTGAACAGGAAGGATCACACAGTGGAGGATTTTATTTATGTGAAATACAGAGAAATATATAGACAAGACAAATCTGCTGAGACAGACAGCAGATTAGTAGTAAGTGCTGGGGATGATGGACTAGCAGGAAGTTTCCTTTTGAGATAATAAAAATATTCTAAAATTGAAAAAAAAACTAGAAATTGAGCTCCCATATGATCCAGCAATACCACTTCTGGGAATATATCCCAAGAGTGCAAAACTACACAGTAGAAATGACATCTTCACTTGTATGTTCATTGAAGCACTATTCACAATAGCCAGATTCAGGAAACAACCCAAGTGCTTGAGAACAGAGGACTGGTTAAAGAAACTTTGGTACATCTATACAATGGAATACTATGCAACTGTTAGGAAAGATGGAGTAATGAAATTTGCTTATAAGTGGATGGACATGGAGAGTATCATGCTATGTGAAATGAGTCAGAAAGCGAGGGACAGACATAGAATGACTGCACTCATTTGTGGAATATAATTGTGGAATAACATAATATGAGATTGACACTCCAGGACAGTAGACACAAGGGCCAGGAATTTTGCTCCATATTTGGAAGTCTGCCTCATGATCTGGGGGAAAAGGCAGCTGGTATAGAGAAGGGATCACTAAGTCAATTATGGCTGGAGGGATTGTTGAGATGGGAGGTGTGTGCTGAAAGTGCATAAAGGACCAAACATGATAGCTTCTCAGTGTTTGTATTGCAAACCAAAATCCCTAAAAAGAGAAAGAGTATGGGGGAAATTGTCTGCCAGTGAGGCAGGGGGAGGGTTGGGATGGGGGGGGGAGGTGATACTGGGGACCTTGGTGGTGGAGAATGTGCACTGGTGGAAAGATGGGTTTTCGATCATTGTATGTCTGAAACTCAAACATGAAAGCTTTGTAACTGTATCTCACAGTGACTCAATAAAAACAAAGAAAAATTCTGGCAGTTACAGAAAGTTGCATTAGTTAATTAGATACTTAGATAAGGTTGTGGTTCAGGTGTTTAAGTTTGGTTTTGAGCAGCTGATGTTACAGCTGAAGAGTCTAGTAACAAAACTATTCCTTAATTTCATTCAATTGCACAACTGTCTCTTTCCCAGGGGCTGACTCACTTCTTTGCTCTGAGCAAGGCTTTGTTATTGATACTGCAATATAAACAGTCTGAGAGTAATAAAAGCTCTTTTCTGTTCTCTCCTTTCCTGTGTCCACCTTTAAGTGACCACTAGCTGCTGGGAAAATAAAGTTTTCTCTTTATAAGTGAACAAATGAGTGAATGATGCAGTGCTCCCTGCAGTGAACACTGCTACGAAAGAGATGAATCAGTTCTGACCTTTAAGAAACTTTCTCCTTAGTCTAGGACAAAAATATGTTTGTGCATCAAGTTCTCAGGAAAGTGTCATACTAATACATGTTTTCTTGAGAGACAGTGAATTTGGGAAGTGAATAATAAAAAGTCCTGATTTTTGGTGACTGAGAAAGTGGGTCTGCTCATCCCACATGGCAGAACAAACAGGGCCAGATTGGAGCAAATTCCAACAATTTAGCAAAGGTGTGATTTCTTTTAAAGGGAAGAATTTGGGTACATTACAAATAATAGACAGTTTTATATATAGTCATGGGATTTGTAAGAGAAATGAAAAGGCAGAAAAGGTATGTTAAAATTGTGACTTAGTATGTGTATTTGTATGTATATTTATAGAACTCACCATCTTTTCACCATGCTCTTACATATTACTTTCATATATTGCTAGATCTTAAATGGTTCAAATAGTGTTTTTCTTACTTAAATTACTTTTAAAAGTTATAGGCAAATAAAGGGATTGCTTCATATCAAGTATTGATTCTGATATATTTTGTGTTTAGGAATTAATTCAGAATGCAGAAGATGCTGGAGCCACAGAAGTCAAATTTTTATATGATGAAACTCAGTATGGAACTGAGACTCTTTGGTCCAAAGACATGGCACCATATCAGGGTAAGACTCAGAACTGGGAATAAGGTTTTTGCACTAATAGGCGATTTTTAATAATCTATTTAACTTGAATGTACAGGTGTGTGAAAATAGGCTTCTGGAGATGCTGGAATATTCTTTGTAATTTATTTTGACAGATTACTTAGGTTTATTCACTTCGTAGGAATTCAGCCTGTACTCTGGAGATCTTGTGTCTTACTACATTTATGTCATACTTCACTTCTAAAAATGAAAATGGTTAATCTTAAAATATGGTTAATGACTATTTTTTGATATATTCAAAGAATCTCAGAAACTCTGATATGTAGTCTCAAAGAGTGGAATTCCAAGCATATTAAATAAGTAACATATTAAAGGGACCCAAACGTGGACCACTAGAAGACAGGCAGTATTATTCTGCAGTGCTTTATCACAGCTTGTTGTGTTAGCAGTTTCAATTATGCAAGTAATGTAATGTGACAAACTTAAGCTTATCGCTTATCTTTATTAAAGGACATTTTTCTTTATGAAATACTATAACAAGTTTTCTTATTTAGAAGTTTCTTTTGATACATTAAGATGTATATTTACTGATAAATTGAACTTCCAAAAATTTATGCTATTTAGGAAAAAATTAAGTAATACACAGGTAGTAAGTACCTTATGACACATTTCCTTGTTTGTCTCGTGTTTAAGGTGTTGTCTCAGCACCAGAATTCCTGCAGTTTTTTTTTTTATTTTGGCCCACAGTACTGCATTTTTTGCCTGCCTGTAAATTTCACTATTGGGTTTTTATTTTTATTTTGAAAATAATCCAAGACCATAATGCAGATTTTAAGTATTTAATATACACTTTCCATCTTCTCAAGATAACAGTTTTCTTTGAGAATTTTCTCAAAGGTGCGCATCATTTTGACTTTTTCCCTGTGCAGGGGCAGCGCTGTATGTCTACAATGACGCCGTGTTCACAGTGGAGGACTGGTGTGGCATCCAGGAAATAGCCAGGAGCAGGAAGAGGGACGATCCTCTGAAGGTTGGGAGATTCGGAATCGGCTTTAATTCCGTCTATCATATAACAGGTGTGGGCTTTGGAGTTTCAGCCTTGACACTGAAAATAACTTTAACCTGTACTTTGTAATGACTCCCCTTAACTCTGGAGCTGATATTGTTTTGAGTGGCAAGAAGGTTGTCAATGATGGATTAGTGTGGCCCAAGTTTTCTAAAGTTACTAAGGGACCCACATGAGAGTTTCACTGAATGATATTCAAAATTAATGTCATCATGATCTTGTGGAATTAGTATAAAATATTTAGTTAAGTTTTTTTCTTGAGGCAGGGGCGCACCCAGTATTCAGGAGGCTAGGAGGTCTCTGTGTGATATTTGGCCAGCTGGACCAGTGGTTCAGAGCTTGAGGATGTGGTTGGTGCTGCTCAGGTCCTCTGATGCTGGGAACCGTTGAGGCTACCTCTGCAGTGCTCAGGATCTTCAGGATCACATCTGGTGATGTGGCCACATCAGCTCAGGGACTCCAAGGCCACACCTGGTGTTGCTCAGGGACCTCCAGGACACTCCCAGTGATGCTCAGGGACTCCAGGGCCATATCTGGTTATACTCAGCAGCCTCCACGGCCACACATGGTCATACTCAGAAGACCATGTCTGAGACTGGTCTGCCCTAGGCTTATACCCTAAACATTGTACGCCCAGCCCCACATTAAATTCTGTGAGCTTTGACCTGATTGGTGCCCAACTGTGAGCTGTATTGGTATGGAAATGTGCCTGGGAGTGAACCATTTAGAGAATGCAGCCAACTGCCTGCATTTTTGTCGCACCTCGATTTGTTCCTTGTTTGAGACTGAGCAGAGTTATATGGGACATAATAAATTGGAGGGTTTTCGTCTAACTGGGGAATTGCAAAATCTATAGGTCCTCCTTCTTACCTCTCAGTCTCCCAGGACTGGTGTCAGAATGTTCTGAGAAAGAACACAGATGAGAGCGCCACATGCTACGTGTTTTCAGTGGTTGTCTTGGTGGCCATAATATTTCCTGTTTGAAATGATCAGTAACTGAGGAGTTAGGAGTAGTGATAACCCGCCTGCAGATGAAAATTGTACAATAAAGGTCATCTTTGAAGTTTCATCTTGCCTGAAGTTTAGGTGCTAAAAATCATCATGGGTGTTAGAACATGTCAAAATGTCCCTTTGGCAGCCTTAAAAAGACACCATAAGAAAGAACTTATCCAAATACAGTATGGAAAATGCAGATAGTTTTCTTGGGAGTGTGTAAATATCTGTCTTTGGATGAGGAGTAGGTGAAGCATTAGGTATCGGTTTAGGGGCTGTTCTGTACCAAATGCATCCCTGGAAACAGTACATTTGGGTTCAAGCCTGCCTTAGATGCTTCCAGTATGAGGGGGGCCTGCAGTGTGAGAGGCGGAGGAATGATACCCACTGATGTTCATTTCAGACTTCCTCCAGGGTGTGTGAGCGATAGTACAGTGGGTAGGGAATGTGCCTTACATGCAGCCAACCCAGGTTCAATCCCTGGCATCCCATATGGTTCCATGAGACTGCCAAGAGTGATCCCTGAGCGCAGAGCCAGGAATAAGCCCTGAGCAATGCTGAATGTGGCCCAAAGACTTAAATAAATCACCTCTGACTTCCTCTAGGGTACACACTAACTGAGCAATTTGGTGCACAGAATTGTCTGCTTGGTTATTTCTTCCCCCTACCCTTTTTATCAAAGATTCTACCATTGAAGTTTGATTTTTAGCATAGGATAAAATTCTGTTTTAGGTTCACATGGAAGTAGGGCCTGACAGAAATATCTAGGGATTCTATGTTTTTCATTTTTTAAATAAGTCCTTGAAGGTTTTAAGTAATATGTAAAATCTCTATGCCTGTTTGTTAAACCAAAATAAATAATTTTTCATGTTAGAAGAATAGTCTTTTCGAAGCTAGATTACTTGTTTCTAGATAAATCTGTATAGTCATTTTCTGCTTCATGCTTTTTACCCTGTGTATTAGTTTGGTGTGAATTATCATTATAATGTGATTAGTCTGTTAACTTTTGATAGTTGACCATAACTGCTGAATTTTCCTTTACAGATGTTCCTTGTATTTTTAGTGGTGACCAGATTGGGATGTTAGATCCTCACCAGACACTGTTTGGTCTACATGAATCCGGTCAGTGTTGGAATCTCAAGGATGACAGCAAAGAGATAAGTGAACTTTCAGACCAGTTTGCACCATTTGTTGGCATTTTTGGGAGCACCAAGGAAACATTCACAAACGGACATTTTCCAGGAACATTTTTCCGTTTCCCTCTTCGCCTGCAACCGTCACAGCTGAGCAATAACCTTTACAATAAGCAGAAGGTTCTGGAGCTGTTTGAGTCATTCCGGGCAGACGCAGACACGGTACTGCTCTTCCTAAAAAGTGTGCAGGAAGTCTCCTTGCATGTCCGAGAACCTGATGGGACAGAGAAACTGGTTTTTCGAGTGACTGCGCGGGAGAGTGAGTCTGGGAAACACGAACGGCCGGATTCCATCCAGATCCTGGGCACCGCGATCAGTGACTATTGCAAGAAGGTTCCGAGCAGCAGCGTGACCTGCGTGACTTACCCTGTGAACATCGCCCTGGAGGACGAGAGGGGGCAGCACGTGCAGAAGACGTCCTGGCTGGTGTGTAACAGCGTGGGGGGCCGTGGGCTCAGTGGCGAGCTGGACGTGTTGGCCGATGAGCTGAAGTTCGTGCCGATCATCGGCATAGCCATGCCCCTGCCGAGCGGCGAGGAGGCGCCGGGTGCCACGCCGGACTTCCTGGGCAGGGCCTTCTGCTTCCTGCCCCTGCCGCCTGGGGACGAGAGCCGGACAGGGCTCCCAGTGCATGTCAGCGGGTTCTTTGGCCTGACGGACAACCGCAGGAGCATCAAGTGGAGGGAGCTGGACCAGTGGCGGGACCCCGCGGCCCTGTGGAACGAGTTTCTCATCGCCAACGTCGTGCCCAAGGCCTACGCGTCCCTGGTCCTGGATTCCATCCGTCGCCTGGAGGCCGGGGGGCGCGCGGACCTGCTGCTGTCCATCGAGGCCATCTACCGGCTGTGGCCCGAGGAGCCCTGCGTACGGGCGCCCTGGAGGCCACTGCTGGAGCCGCTGCTGGCCGAGCTGCTCCCGCACGCCGTGGTCCACTCCCGCGGCGGCCGCTGGGTCCGGCCCGAGCACGCCTGCTTCTCCGAGCTGGATGCCAGCCTGGACTACACCGACACGGTGCTCAGCTACCTGCAGGGCGCGGGGCAGCAGGTCGCCACGGTGCCAGCCCACCTGGCTGCAGCCCTGGCCCTGGGCCCGCGGCCCGTGCGGAAGGTGACGCCCGCCTGGGTGCGGCAGGTGCTGCGCAAGGCGCCCCCGTCCCCCGGGGCCCCCCACCGACTGCACCTGCTCGAGTTCGTGCTCTCTGACCGAGCCTACGGCGAGTTGCTGGGGCTCGAGCTGCTGCCGCTGCAGAATGGTCACTTCGTCCCCTTCTCCTCATCCGTAGCAGACCAGGATGCTATTTATATTACCTCAGAGGACTATCCAAGGCAAAAATCCCTTTTTTTTTTAAACAGGAAACAAAGCTGCATAATCTACCCTTAGATATGCCTCAGCCCCTTATCCCTATGGAATCCTTTCTTTTCTGGAAATTTTTCTGGAAATGTCTTAAAAGGCAGTGTGGGTAGGCCCGGGATGAGAAATGAAGACACTGAGTAAACTTGATTCTTCGTGGAATTCGTTGATTATCTGTGTGAAAATCCACAAACTGATGATCCACATCGATTGTATAGTTAGGGGGAAGTCTGTTGGAGAACTTGATGAGAATAGGAAAAGATACAGCTTTATATGCAGAAGGGAAGAAGCGCCATGTATCTTATCCCTTAAGTGAATTTTTCCATGCAGGTGCCTGGACCATGACTCTGGGCTTTGTAGCACTTGTCTCCTGAGCACAAAGTCCCAGTTTGAACTATGGTGCCACCTGCAAGGGCTGAGTGTAACAGACAAGGCTGGTGTTAGGGTCCTGGGAAGGAAGTACCCTGGCAGAGGCTAGGTGGGCTCTCCAGCAGGCCACCAGGCTGAGCCTGGCCCCCTCCCACACCCTGCGCTTCCTAACTCCCCCTCACAGTTGTACTTCTTGGCAACTTCCCTAACTGGGTGTTGTAAACAGTGGCAATGTACTGAGTTAAGATTTCAGTTTGATTAATCTGAATTTAGTATATTAAGTAATTTTTTAAATAGGATATAGCCAGCCATTTCAGAAAAAGTATGTTTTATTCTAAGAGGTTTAGATATATTCTTCTTTTGGATACTGCCCTGTGTTTCAAAATGGTCTTAGATAATAATTGATCTCAGAATATTTCCTGTCACTTGAGGTATACATTATAGTTTATATAAAATAGAGTAGTGTGTTTAACTGATGGGGAATTATATGGTTGAATGTCTGCATCTGATCATTGTAGGAAGGTCATAATCACTGTTTCTTTCAACTTTAGGTCCCTTTTCCCAGGTCTTGAAGGAAGACTTATTTTAGACAACTTGAAGCCTCATCTTCTTGCTGCTTTAAAGGAAGCTGCTCAAACCCGAGGTAGGATATAGTTGCTTTGTTTTTTAAATTTATTGAGAAAAATACCAGCAGTTTTTAAAATAAATTTTCTATTTTAGTTTAATCAGTGAGAATTAGCAGTAGTCACTCATTTTAAATTTGATAGCTCTTTCACATGGTTTAGCTAATGAAAATTTTAAGATGTTTGAGTACTGGACTCTGACATCTGAAATAATTCAAAAATGACATTCTATTAAAAATTGTCTCCTTTTTAAATGAAGTGATACATGTGGCGGACCCGAGTTCGATTCCTCCGCCCCTCTCAGAGAGCCCGGCAAGCTACTGAGAGTATCTCGCCCGCACGGCGAAGCCTGACAAGCTCCCCGTGACGTATTTGATAAGCCAAACACAGTAACAATGGTCACAATGGAGATGTTACCCGGTCCGCTTGAGCAAATCGATGAACAACGGGAGGACAGTGACAGTGACAGTGATACATATTTTGGGAATAATTTCTTAGGTCTGTGTGGTACTTCCTAGTTTTCTGGTGTTTTTCCATTTGCTTTCTCTCTTCAGCTGTCAGTCCTATAGTGGGTATAGGCAACTGTGGTCAGACTTTGAGCTCAGGCAGTTCTCTTCCCAGCCTTGTCTGGTGCCCCTGCTGATTGATGCCTCTGCTATCCTGCCCGTCACAGCAGCATGTGCTGGTGTAGACAGGCCCAGTGTAGCAGCATCAGGACGAAAGTGTTCTGAGGATTCCTGTTGGCTGGGTCTGTGTTTGAAGTTGATCATCTTTCAACTTTGGCGACTATCCTTTCCATTCTGATGTTTTCTAAGTTAGGTATTAGCCTGTATATTTTTGCATTTGTTCCACTGGTTAAGATTGTAAATCCATCTGTAATTATTCATTGTGTGGTGCATCACTTTCTACTGAAGATAAAATTTTGTTAATTGAATATTTTTTATTCTGAGGTGGGTATGGATGTGGAAATCAGTCCAAATTTAGAAGCATATCAGGTAGAAAGGATAGAAGGCCAATGATCATCAGTAAAAGTTTTTCAGATATCCAGATACCCTGGGTATAGGACACAACTTCTTTCACCCTAAGTGCCCCTGTTCAGTTTCTAGAGATAAATTTAATTACATGATGATGTAGGTAATTTGATCTCTGCCAGCTTGTTTCTTACCACTTTGGCTTTTTATTTTCTCCTCTACTGTGGATTTTGAATTATAATTTAGAGATTATATTAAAGCAGTATCTTATCTCCGGTTCTTGGTCTGTTAATATTAGATGAAATATCTTCACTGTCTGTCACCCATAGTGTGTGACACAGTTATTTTAGAAGTTGTCTGCATGGTTTTGAGTAACTTCACTATTGTCATTATTAAATAACCCAAATTTCTAACTGTTTTAGGATTTTTGTTTCGTGGTATAGGTGATAGATATGGTGCCTATCATTTATATTATATTTGTGTTTTAAATTTAGCTTTATTATGGCGCTGGGTTCAAACTCATGCATGCAGTGCTGCTGAAATAAATCCCCAGGTAATGCCTTGTTATTTTTTTCTAGACCAGAATTAGTCCCATGCCCTACCCCCTGTTTTTTTTTTATCAGGGTACTGCAATTTACCATGGTTTACCATGAAACCATGATAGTTTCATGCGCATATTGTTCCAGTACCATCCCCCCTCACCAGAGTGCCCCAAAGCCCTACTCATTTAATCTGTGACCTTTATGAAAGCTCAGTTCTGTAGACCAAGTCTCAGTTCTATATTGCCTTTGGCCATTGTTTCCTTACTATGTTTTTTTTTCTTCTTTTTTTCTTTTTTTATATATCACACTTGTCTGACCCTCTCCTTCTGACTGACTTCATTCAACATAATACTCTAGTTGCGTCCATGTAGAGACAAATTGCACGATTTTATCTTTTCTTACAGCTGATACTAATACTCCATTGTGTGTTTGTATTACAATTTCTTTATCCTCTTGTCTGTTCTTGGACACTATGGTTGTTTCCAAATCTTTGCTATTGTGAATAGTGCTGTAGTGAACATACGGGCACAAATGTCTTTTTGAAATAGTATTTTTGGCCCATTGGGGTCAATACCAACATGTGGATATGCTGGGGTCATATGGAAACTTAAGAAGGTCATATTCTTTTCCAAAGATATTGAACCATTTGATGTTCCCACCAGCGGTGAATGAGGGTCCCTTACCCTTGCATCCATACCAGCAGTGCTAGCTTTTGTTCTTTTGGATGTGTGCCAGTCTCACTGGTCTAAGGTGATACCTCATTTTGGTTTGTATTTCCCTGATATTAAGTGACAAAGAAAAGAATGGGACCAATAGAAAGAAACATCCACTCCCCCCCCCCCCTTTTTTTTTTGTTTATTGGACTAAACCTGGCTGTGCACTCAGAGTCCATTCCTGTCAGGCTTGGTGGACCATATGGGATGCTGGGGATTAAACTTGTAGCAGCTGAGTGCAAGGTAACTGCTTACTTAACTGTTGCAATATGTCTCTGGCCCCTTGTTTTTTTTTTTAGATGAAGTTGTTTTATTTGTTGCTAAGTTTTACAAGAGCTTTATAATCTTGAATAGTCATTCTTTATCTGATGAGTGAGCAAGTGCTTTTTTCTAACCACATTCTAGTCATCATTTTTTTTTTTTGTGGCATCAATGTTTCTTTGATTGGAGCGATAGCACAGCGGGTAGGGCGTCTGCCTTGCACACAGCCAACATGGCCGCCCCGAGTTCAATTCCTCCGCCCCTCTCGGAAAGCCTGGCAAGCTACCGAGAGTATTCCATATGTCAGACACAGTAACAACAAAGTCTCCAATGGAGACATTACTGGGCCTGCTCGAGCAAATCTATGATCAACAGGAGGGCATTTACTTTTACTTTACTTTTTAATGTTTCTTACTTTGATGTAGTTTATTTGTTTCTTTCTTTTTGCTTCTGTTTGCTTAGCCAGTTGCATTGAAGGTGCCACAAAATTCAATATCAATGAAAGTTTCTGTCTGTACTTGTCTAAATATATTTTATAGGTCTGATATTGAGGTCCTTAATCCATTTTCATTGACTTTTGTGCATGATGTTAGAAAGGGGAATGATTTAATTTTTTAACATGTGGTTGACCAGTTTTCTCACCAATATTTGTAGAAGAGGCTTTCATTTCTCCATTTCACTCTTCTAGCTCCTTTGACAAAGATTAGCTGACCTGAGGGTCTGTATCTGAACTTTTGATTCTTTTCTGTTGGTCCAGGAATTTGTCTTTATTCTAGAACCCACCGTCTTTAATACTATAGCCTTATATGTACTTTAAATTTGGATAAAGAAAAGACTTCCATCATCTTTTGTTTTCTCCTTAAGATTTCTTTGTCTATTGGGGGGATTTATTAAGCCATACAAATTTTAACAGCATTTTTTTCTGTCTGTAAAAAATATCCTGGGTACTTTTATAGGGACTACATTGTATCTCTACAGTGCTTTAGGGGAGCATGGTCATTTTGATAATACTAATTCTTTCATTCCATAAACAGGGGCTGTGTTGCCATTTCCATGGACCTTATATTTCTTTTATTAATGACAAAAGTTTTCTTTATGTGAGTCTTTCACCTCTTCCTTAATCTGGTTCCCAGATAACTTGTTCTTTTTTTTTTTGCTTTGTTTTGTTTTTTTGAGGTACAATTGTGAATGGAATTTAAAAACATTTTTTCTCTTTGTACATTATTTTCATACTGAAATGCCCAGAATTTCTGTATGTTAATTTCTTAGCCTGCCACATTACTGGATGTTTATTATCTCTAGAAGGGTTTCTTTTGTTTTGTTTTTGCTTTTATAGGGCCTTTAGTGTTTTTCTAAGAATAGTATCATGTCATCTGCTAATAGTGTTAGTTTGACTTTTTATCTGGATATCCTTCAAATCTCCTCTCTCTCTCACTCGCTTGCTGGCTCTCTGTTTCTCTCTCTCTCTGTCATTGATGTGGCAAGGTCTTCCATTACTATGTTGAATAATAGTGAAGACAGCAGACAACCTTGTCTCTTGCCCGATCTTAGTGGGGAGGCGTTTAGTTTTTTGCTATTATGGGTTTGTGGTTAATGGCTTTAGTTATATTGATAAAAGTTTCTTCTATCCCTTTCTATAAAGGGATTTTTATCATGAATGACTGTTGGATCTTGTGAGATACTGTCTTTACATTTATTGATATAATCATATGATTTTTAGTTTTCTTTATATTGATATGTGCATTACATTGACTTGCATATATTAAAACTTTATTGCATCCCTAGGATAAATTCTACTCGGTATGATCTTGATGTATGATCCTTTTAATATCTTGTTTTATTTGATTCATTAATATTTTGTTTAGTGTATTTGTATCTGTGTTCATCAGTGAAACTGGCCTATGCTTTTCTTTTTTAGTTATGTCTCTGTCTGCTTTGGTATCAGGGTAATGTTTGCTTTTTTGAAACTGTTTGGAGGATTCCTTTTTCTTGACTTCCTGCAAGAGCCTGAGAAGAATTTGAAGTAGCTTTTTGTAAAAAACTATGCACGCAGAAGGTTGTGTGTTCGCGGGCTCTCTGGACGGCTCTATCTCACCGCCCGTGTTCGGTGCCCTAGAGTTGCTGTGTGTAGCCTGCATCGGGACGGCTGTTGGCCAAGGGCAGATGAAGGAAGAGACGAGGGCCAGGCCGGTTGATCTTAGTGGCAGTTTATTACAAGGAAGTTTATCCCATAGAAGAACTTATATTGTGGAGGGCCTAGGTTCTCTCAAGCACATGTTCCCCTTGCTAGTCTCTCGGTAGTCCATCTTTCAGCCCTGCTCTCTCCTTCTCCAGCTCCCTTCTAGTCTGGCTGACACTCCACCCAGTCAGGTAGCCAAATCAACATAAGAAAGCCCTTCCTGAATGCTCAAGGGCAAGATACCTCTTAAGGTGTTTTTCTCTTTTCCTCAGTCCAATAAACTATCAACTATTTCTGAGGTTATGCAGGAAGGACAGAACAGTGTTATCCTACATCTCCCCCTTTTTCTTTTTA